GTCTTGTTCATTTCTAGAATGCAGCTCATAAAATATTTTCATTATATCTTCAAGTTTTTCTTGTTGAATGTCTTTGAGACATTTTTTTGAACAACTGTTAATCGAAAATATTAATGTAAAAATATAAAAGCTACTAGTTATTAATAGCGAACAAAACCAACTAAATATGATAAAATTACCATTGTTTACGGTTTAATGAAGGATCATTTTTTGCAGCAACTATTTTTCCAATCCAGTTTGTATGTTTCTTCCTATTGATTTTTGCTTGCTTAATAATATTTCTTTTATATTTATCATTGTTAGAAACACCTTTTTTTCTTTTGAGAGGACTAATACACACGACGTCTGAACTCATATTTTAAAGCTTTACACGTTATGATCGTTTGTACACGGCTACAACGTTTCAACTAGTACAATATTTATTCACTGATAATCATTTTATTTTATAAGTAGTTATAGCAAAGTTTTCACCATCACAATCTTTGCTTATAAAAAATTGTACTAAATTAAATTTATAAATAAAACAATATTACATGTCACACAATAAAGTGATTTCACGAAGTTTAGTTCCGATAGTATTACTAAAGTATAATTTTGATGCAAATAGATCACATGTCCAGGACATGTGCCTTTTCTGCAATTAACGAAATTTTAAATTATTTTTAACGAGGATCTATTTAATAGGACATGTGCCTCGTCTGCTCAAAATCATGTATTTATCAACATTAAATTCGATTATGCAATTAAGTGATTTTTGTAAAATATTGGACATGTGCCCTTTCTGCATTTAGCGATTATAATTATTACAATACGTGATCATTTTTTTTTATAAAATATAAAAACATGTTTTGAATCAATCATTTTCCTTTATAAAGCCTTATTGGTAATTGTTATTTAATGAGAAATTATTTAATAATTTATGAAGTGTAAAAAAAAAATTATATTTATAGTGAATGATATACATAATTTCAATTAATTATAATTAATTTCAATAATAATTATTATTGGCTTTATTCAATCAATTTTGAGTTTCATTTATGTACAGTCTTGTAATTTATTAGTAAATAAAATATAGATAGGTTATTGTGACTTTTTAATCAAATTTCCGGTTGAAGCTGTGGATATTTTTCATTATAAGAAAGCAAAATATGGTCAATTATCTAATACGAAAAATTAAGAAAGATTTAAAAGAAGTCAAACTAGAAACTTTCATAATAATCCTATTATTATTGATTGTTTGAGCACACCCTTAAGAAATCGTTTGTTGAAAATTTAATCGTTAGTTAGTACTATTGTAGCTACTCAGGTATCGTGTGGTTATACTGCAGCGCTATTAGTTCAGATAGTATTAAGTTTTTTAGCTTCGATGCGAAGCTGAGAAGGTATTGGTTTTACTAAGATGTGTTTTTTTTTTTTGTCTGTTATCACTTTTTCTCAGCTCTCACCGAACCGATTTCTTTCAATGATACGTCAAAAGATCACAAATCGTATCTAGTCAAAGACATTACCTTCAAAAATTGAAAAAAATTCCCTCGTTCCCCGTAAATGGGGGAAACCTCCAAAAAAATTACAAATTTAAAAATCGTTAATTTTCGAAATTTTTTCAATTTTTTTTACTTAAAATTACTATAACTTTTTTAAAAATAACCAAATCAATATAATTTTTTTTTATATAGATGCATGGTATCATTATCTTTCTTTTGGTATATTTTTTTTGTAAATTTACCTGCCCATAGGGGGGGATTTAAAATGACAACTTTTTGACAAAAAATTAATTTTTTTAACTTAAATTTTGAAAGTGTTCCGGAAAGTCTGACACTTTTATATATATATCTCAAATTAAAGCTAATGTAATATACTTTATCCTGAAAAAAAAAAAATTTTGTCCTTTTTTGTCTTCACGGTGAAAATAGCTACGGAATGCTATTATTGTGTGAAAATTCTTGATTTTATTTTTTACATTTTTAACTTTATAATGCTTTAACTTATTGAAAAGTGTATGGATCAACATAATTTTTTTATGAGAAATAATATTTATATCCCTTTTTTATTCGACATACTTTATCTTAATCAGGATATTAATAAGGAACTAGCAGATCATGTAGCTTTTGGAATAATCCATCAATTTTTTTTAAATTAAACATTATCTAAAGATTTGCATCGAAGCGTTTTTTTTGATAGTGATTTTAATCACTGTCAGATATCATTATACTTGATCCAACTATGCCACGTCACTAATGTGCCGCGACCCCACTGTGCTGGGTTTTTTTGACCCCTACTCTAAAGGCTAGCCGGGTTGTCCCCAACGGATCGCCGGGTCAAACGCCGGACGTTTTGTCGGAAATTAGCCATCATCGGAACTAGTCGTTGCTAATTTTCGTCTGTAGCGTTTTTTTTTTTTTTTATTGTTGTGTGCGCTATAACTATTTTATATTATATTTTTTTGCCGTGAGTGACCGATATTTATTTATTATGTAATTTTTTGGTGTATTGGCGTCGGCTAAACCTGCCTCCATATTCGTTAGACCTTCGGGGCTGGTATTGTATCTTTATTATTTTATAATGTTTTGAGCCAGAATTTTTTTTTTATTAGTGCGCCGTGCCATAAGCACGTGTGGCGAATTTTTTTTTATTATTAAAATTTTTTTTTAGGTGCCCCTATTTTTTATTTAGGTCCCGCAACATGACAGGCATGTTACAAGACCACCTATCATGTTATATCCATATTTTTTTTATAGGTTTTATATTATATTTTATGGGTGATATGTATTATTGGTACAATGTGGTGACGTAGTGCATTTTATTCCGGGGTGTCTCAACGTCTTGCAAGCTAAGCCCAACTGCCTAAAACCAGTCACATACTTGGGGCGTATACCCACCGTGCTTAGCGGTAATGCCGCGATTAATAGCCGGTTGGTACCCGAAGACGTTCATGGTATTCTCTAATAATATAAGTGTAGATGTAACTAGTATTTTTTTTATTAATATCTGTTTTTTTTCTCTCTTTCTTTGTCCCCTTTAATTTTTAGACGAGGCTTTTTGACCATTCGGTTTTTTGCCTCGTAGTAACTTAATTTTTTTTGTTTTTTTTTTTTTACTTAATAAAATCCCCTTAATTTAACTTAACCATCATATTTTTTTTTTTTTTGCGTGTTCCATCTTCAATGGACTCGTGTATTTTTTTCCTTTCAAAAAACATCTCCCCTTAGTTTATAAAGTACGGGCAACGGCCTTGTATAAGGTCATCCCTCATTAATATGGTTATGTCACAACTGTCACGAGGTTTTGGTGTACATCTACTATCAACGAATCAACGGACATCAACTTTAATATTTCGTAATTTTATATTTTTGTTTAATTGTTTTACTATTGAGCGAGACCTCAATAGATTGGCGACCCTTTTCTTGTAATTTTTCAATGCGCCATGAAAGTTACAAATTTTTCGTTGCGGCCAATTAATTTGATTTTTTTTTATATTTGTAACCTTTCAATATATATATATATATATATATATATATGTGTATATAACACATGTAAAGAAAAATAGCGTATATTTTATTATTAGTGTAACGGTGTATTAATTTAGTACCGTCGCCGTCAACCGCTAAAAAGAAGCTATGCAGGCAAAACATTACATAATTAATATATTACATCAAAATATAGGACTATGTGTATCGCATATTTAATTATAGACATATCTAGAACAGTTATAGTTATATCTTAACATAGTTATACTTAGAAAAATCTATTTAAATTGAGTCATTATTATTTTACAATTATTCCTTTAATTGATTTTTGTTATTTTCATTGACTAATTAGCTTATAAAATACTTAAAGTAAGTAGGTACTGACCCAATAATAAAACGAAGTAAAGACACAATTATCCAACTTTTCAATTTTACAGCCACTATAGGAATAAAAATTAAACAAATTGAAGTAACAGTCATACAAATTGTCATTATTTCTTTTTCGTATCCTCTATTGGCATATACTCCTCCTGGAAATACAGTAACTAACATACCACTGAAGTAAGATGCCATTGCAATAGCTTGTTCTTCTAACGTCCAATTTTGTCTTTCTTCTTTTGTCGTAGAATTTATTCCAACATTAATTACTGCATTTGGACAATGATCAGAGTAAGATGCAGCAACTAGTGGTGTTGTCATCATAACCATCATCGAATATGTAAAATGCAAACGAACAGCTATCATGAATGCGTAAGCCATAAACAACATAACCAACCAACCAATCATTGAGTATATCTATAACGTAGACAAAAAAATCTATTTGCTGTGATTCATATATACAGTTATTTTGATGTCTGAGACTCAAATATACCATTCATAATGGAATAAATACCATAAAATAGTTTTACCATATAAAAAAAATTTACCAATCATAAGTCTCTTACATCTCCCTCTCTGTCGTGATGTGTGGCAACACTGTATCATTGTTTATCAATGTTCATGTTAAAGGTTAAATAAATTTCGTTAAATAAAATATAAGTATGAAAATCATGTGACCTGCGTGTACTTATTTTCTAAATAACAACAATAATTTATAACATGGCGCAGTCGAAAGGATTGTTCTTTTATTATTTGTGTTAATTATAAATAAAGAAAAAACAAAAGTGACCATGGAAGGGCTCAAACCACCGTCAGAACTTAATATTCGTGAGGCACAAATCGAATGGCCGAGATGGAAAAAAAGTTTTAATGTGTTCAGCATTGCAGCGGGCATATATAAGAAAAAACATATTGAACAAATAAATATATTTCTACACATAATAGGCGAAGAAGCCAGGGACGTGTATGAGACATTGGTGAGCGGACAGGAACTTGAAAGTGTGGAAGAAATTATAAAATTATTCGATGAATATTACGAACCTAAAATAAATGAATGTGTCGAAGCATTTCAATTTAATAGCAGGAACCAAAGAACAGATGAAAGTTTCGAAGAGTATCTTGCGGCTTTGAGAAAGCAACTGTATTTTTGGAAACATGAAAGACCGACTAATAAGAGATCGTGTTGTTGCTGGTGTTTATGACAAAAAACTTCAAGAAAAACTATTAAATGAAGCAAATGTAACATTGGATAAGGTAATTGATGTGGCAAGAAAGTTTAATGCGGCAATGAAACAATCTAATGTAATGAACACGACAGAAGAAGAAAATGCAATACTTAGAATTAAAAAATCAAGTAAAAATTACAGAAGTTCATTTGTAAAGAACATAGAAAATTGCAAAAGATGTAGCAAGACACATGAGATCAATAAATGTCCGGCATATCAAAAGAAGTGTATCAAATGTGATAAGTTTAATCACTTTGCAAAAATGTGCAAAGGAAGAAACGCAAAGCAAAGTGATAAACATAAGAAACAAGTCAAATTTAGTCATATTAAGTCAGTGGGAACTAACAAAGAAGACAGTTGTAGTAGTGATGAACTATGCTTAGGGTCACTAATTAAAATCAACCGGAAAAAAATCAAGGTTCAACAACTCAATGGGAGGAAGATTTGGTAATCAAAGGAAAGAAACTGAAATTCAAGTTGGACACTGGAGCAGAGGCAAATGTAATACCGTTAAGAAGTCTAAAACTAGCTGGTCTTACTCCATTATCAGTAAAGAAATGCAAAGAAAAATTAATCAATTATTCAAGTACAAATATTGCTACTTTTGGTAAAGTTAATTTAGATTGTATAACTAATAAGAGTAAATTATAAAACTTAGAATTTTTTATTGTGGATAGTGATTCACCTATTTTGGGTTTAGAGTCTTGTATTAAATTAAAACTAATAAATAGAATACAAGAGTGTAATAGGATATGTCAGAAAGACCTATTAAAAGAAATTGAACAAAGATTCAATCATTTATTTGAGGGAATAGGTAATTTTAAGGAAAATTTTAAGTTAGTAATGAAAGAATGCTATTCCAGTAGTACATGCTCCTAGAAAAGTTGCTTTTCCTTTGTTAGATCAATTAAAGAAAGAATTATGTAAGTTAGAGAATATGAATATTATAAAGAAAGTTAACACACCTACAGATTGGGTAAACTCAACAATAGTAATGAAAAAAACTAATAATGAGTTGAGAATATATTTAGATCCACAGGATCTAAATAAAAATTTAAAAAGGGAATATTTTCCACTCCCAACTTGTGATGAAATAATAAGTAAAGTGAGTGGAGCCAAAGTGTTCAGTAAGTTAGACGCCAAAAAAGGGTTTTATCAAATTTCTTTAGATGAGGAAAGTGCGAAATTAACAACTTTTAATTCACCATTTGGTAGGTATTGTTTTTGTAAACTATCTTTTGGTTTGAACATTGCTCCAGAGGTATTCTATAAATATTTTTCTCAATTGTTAGATGGAATAGAAGGAGTACAGGTGTATATGGATGACATAATAGTATCAGGTAGAAATGATGAGGAACATAAAAAGAGACTATTAGAAGTGTTATACAGATTAGAAAAGAACAATGTAAAATTAAATAAAAACAAGTGTGAATGGGCAGTGAATAAGTTAATTTTTGGTGGTCATGAATTTTCAAGTGATGGTATAAAACCAGATCCAAGTAAAGTAAAAGCAATTAAAAATATGCCTGCACCAAAGTGTAAAAAGGATGTAGAAATATTTTAGGTATGTACAACTATGTGTCTAAATTTATTCATCATGCTTCAAATAAAACAAAACCTCTTAGAGATTTGATTAAAAAACAAACAGATTTTCAGTGGAGTGTTAATGAGGATAGAGTGTTGGAGGATCTCAAGAAAAGTTTATGTGAAGTACCAGTATTACAATACTTCAATCCAAATGAAGATATAGTATTAGCTGTGGATGCGTCGCATAGTGGTGTTGGAGGTGTGTTGCTACAAAACAATTTACAGGTAGCATATGCGTCAAAAGCATTAACAGAAACTCAAATGAGATGGGCGCAGACAGAAAAAGAGACTTATGCAATATTTTGGGTATGTGAGAGATTTCATCAATATATTTATGGTAAAAAAATAATAGTGGAAAGTGATCATAAACCGTTAGAAGCTATATTTAAAAAACCATTGGTTTTTTAATATACTTTTAATATAATTTTCTATACTCCGTATAGAATTCAGAGAATGAGGATAAGACTACAGTTATATGTGTTTGATATTAAATATAAAAAAGGTTCATTAATGTTTATAGCGGATACACTATCTAGAGCTTATATAGAGGAGGATAATAATAAAGGTGCATTAAAAATTAGTAGTATAGAGGTGCAAAACACTTTAAAGAACTTTCCAATGTCTAAAAGTAAACTGGAGGAGTATAGAAGAGAAACAGAAAAGGACGAGGTCTTTATTAGAATAAAAAACTGGATTAGATCCGGATGGTCTAGTTATGATAAGCTAGAGGACAGATATAAAGACTTTTGGCAACATAAAGATTCTTTTACTATAATTAAAGATATAATTGTAAAGGACAATAGAATAGTAGTACCAACTTCACTACAAAAAGAAGTGTTAGATATAATACATTTCAATCACTTAGGAATTAATAAATGTAAACTAAGAGCTAAAAGAACAGTGTTTTGGCCAAGTATGAATAAGGACATCGAACTTAAAGTAAAAAGTTGTGAAGTTTGTTCCAAATATGCTAAATCTAAAAGTAAAGAACCAATGAAGCCAAGTGAAATTCCAAATGAGGCGTGGCAGATATTAGGTATGGATATATTTAGTATTTATAACAAAAACTTTTTACTAGTGGTAGACTACTTTTCAAAATATGTGGAAATTGAACTAAGCTCTTTGGATAGCAAACATGTGATTGCAGCACTAATAGCAATATTTGCTAGATTCGGTATTCCACAGGTACTTAAGTCTGATGGAGGTAAGCAGTTGACATCAGAAGAATTTTTAAATTTTAGTAAAGAGTATGATATTGATTTAGTGAACTCATCGCCAACATATGCTCAATCTAATAGTATGGTTGAGAGAGCGATACAATCAGTAAAAAAAAGTGTTGTATAAAGCCTTAGAGGAAGGATTAAATTGGAAAAAGTGTTTAATGGAATACAGGAATACTCCTATATGCGATCATTTATCATCTCCCTTAGAGATCTTGATGAAACGAAGTGTTAAAACATTACTTTCAGGTTGTTTAAGTAATAAGATACTATCTAATGATGAGATAAGAGAGGAGTTGGTTAAAAAATCTAGTAATCAAAAGCAATATTATGACAGGAATGTAAAAAAACCTGATGAGTTTGAAGTAGGAGATTTAGTTTGGTTGCAAATAAGAAGAAAAAATAAATTATGGAATAAAGGTATTATAATAGATAAGGGCACTGGTGAAAGAAACTTCAAAGTAAAAGTTGACTTAGGAGGAGTATTTGTTAGAAATAGGAGATTCATAAAAAAGAGAATTTAATATAGGAATATTATATTGTATAAATATTACACTGGGTAACAACCAAAAAAAAGTCATGGGTTTCTCAGCTGATTTAGACTAATTTTAGTGTTCTGAGTCCGAATATCACATTGATTTTGCTGTATCAGGTCAACTTTTTGAGATACAGCCATATGCCTAAATGACCATTTTTCCCTGAAATGTAAGCCTTTTTATACGCTTCAATATGCTAATATTAGGGGTTTTAAGGGGATTATTCAGGACATATGAAAACAAAAGAAGCCTTTAAGATTGTAACAGTTAATCATTCCAATAGATGCCTTTTATTCTTATTGTGTAAAATTTATTCTAATTTTTATTGTCTGACAGTAAACTGCATATTTCTATCTATTTCAGATTGATATGGCTTCTGCGCGACGTTCATGCATGAATAATCCTGACGTTTTCTGCTACATCTGCGGAGAATACACGCTTTCAGTGGACAGGAAGAACATCACGGGATTTGTGAAGAACGCCTACCAGGCTTACTTTAAAGTCAAGCTGGGTGACCAAGATAATCCCTGGGCACCGCACACGGTCTGCAAGAACTGCGTGGAATACCTCCGGCGGTGGACGAAGGGCACGAAAACTTCACTGAAGTTTGGGATTCCGATGGTTTGGAGGGAGCCCTTAGACCATGCATCGGATTGTTACTTCTGCGCTATCAATACTACTGGCATCAACCGGAAGAATCGGCACAGCCTCCAGTACCCCGACCTTCCATCTGCCCGCCGCCAGTTGCTCACTGCGAAGAAATTCCAGCGTTCACAGAGCTTCCTGACATCCACGACGAGGCCACCACTGCAGACGAGGGAGGATATATAACAGACGAGGAGTATGAAGCACAAGATGGTCGGCAGCCCTTTTCACAATGTGAGCTTAATGATCTTGTTCGGGATCTCAGCTTGTCGAAGACTTCATCCGAGCTGTTGGCCTCCAGACTGAAACAGAAAAATCTACTTGGCGAGGACGCGCGTATCACTTTCNTGGCGAGGACGCGCATATCACTTTCTTTCGTAGAAGGAATGATGACTACATGGGCTACTTCTGCCAGGAGGAAGACCTAGTGTACTGCCGAGATGTCGCCGGTCTTCTTGTTAAACTCGGGGCTCCTACATACGATCCGAGAGATTGGCGACTCTTTATTGACAGCTGCAAGCGCTCTTTGAAGTGTGTGCTCCTCCACAACGGGAACGAGTTCGCCTCAATCCCTCTTGCTCACTCCACAACTCTCGTAGAGAAATATGAAGCAGTGAAGTACGTGCTCGACAAAATCCAATATGAGCAGCACCAATGGTTCATCTGCGTCGACCTCAAGATGGTGAACTTTCTACTTGGTCAGCAGACCGGGTTCACGAAATACCCATGCTTTATATGTATGTGGGACAGTCGAGACAGAGCCCAGCACTATGTAAAGAAAGTGTGGCCGCCACGAGAGCAGTTAGTACCTGGTGCGGGAAACATCATAAACGAACCTCTTGTTGACCGGGAGAAGATATTGATCCCACCGCTACACTTGAAGCTTGGGTTAATGAAACAGTTCACGCGTGCTCTGGACAAGGATGGGAGGTGCTTCAACTACCTGTGCCGAGCCTTTCCGCGACTGACCATTGAGAAGCTGAAGACCGGCATTTTCGATGGGCCACAGATACGGCAGCTCATAAAGGACACAGAGTTCGAAAAGTCCATGAACACGTTAGAGTGCGCCGCGTGGAAATCGTTTGTGCAGGTGGTGAAGAACTTCCTGGGGAACACGAAGGCAGCAAACCACGCCAGACTCATCAGCAGCATGATAGAGGCCTTTCAAAAGCTCGGGTGTTTGATGAGTATAAAGATGCACTTCCTGTTCTCACACATGGAGAAGTTTCCTGAAAACCTTGGGGCGATGAGCGACGAGCAGGGAGAAAGGTTCCGTCAGGACATGCGCCAAATGGTGGATAGGTACCAGGGGAGGTGGGACGCAGTCATGATGGCGGACTACTGCTGGATGCTGAAGAGAGACAACCCAGCAGCTGCTCACAATCGGGAATCGAAGAAACGCCGATTTATGCCGTGAACTCTGAACTTTTGTGTCACGTACTGCTCATTGTTATACTAATATTATGATAAATATTCTTATTTAATTTGATGGAGTAAATAAAAACTTAATAAATTTGCATACGTTGACTTTTATTTCTTGAGGAAAACGGAAAAAATCTTCCGGGGTTTCTCAGCAGATGATCCAAAGAAATGTTTTTTTACGAAAAATCGATTTTTAAAAATTTCTGTAGCAAAAAATCCTGACCTGATAGAACAAAACCAAGGTCATTTTCGGACTCAGGGCATCTAAATTAGTCTAATTCAGCTGGAAAACCCTAGACTTTTTTAAAAAAATATTTTTTTGTTTTTTGCAGGGATTCGGAAGGGAGCGAATTTTGTTCCGTTCCAATATTTATTCCGGAACGGAACTTTTCCTAAAAATCAAGTTGGAATGTAAAAGTTTGTAAAAAGAATATAATTATTAAACATACATGCAGGGATACGGAACGGAACAAAAATATTGTTCCGGAACGTGAAATTTCGTTCCGTTCCGAGTTTGCTCCGGAACGGAACTTTTGCTAACAAACGTTCCGATNATAAATTGATGTTAATTTATTATTTTATAAAAAAAGAGAGATGTCGTGATGTGTGGCATCACTGTATCATTGTTTATCAATGTTCATGTTAAAGGTTAAATAAGTTTCATTAAATAAAATATAAGTATGAAAATCATGTGACCTGCGTGTACTTATTTTCTAAATAACAACAATAATTTATAACACTCTCAATCTCTTTTGTATCAACAGCTCAAATAATATTTTTATCAGACACAGGGCTATCAAGCCAGTATTTAAGTAGGGGCATAGGAAGACTCTTACCCCAGCAGCACTTTCTATATTATTTTATTTTTTAGCATCAGTAAAATTAAAATTTTTCAAAATGTTTTTTTATCAAAATACTTTTTCTCTCAGTTTTTTTTTTCAATTTTCTATAGTTTATGAAGGACCAAGTTGTCCTTTATAACAAATGGTCACCTCTAGTGATTAACTTCGAAATATTAGGTATAATGCAATACAATAGTATAACACATTTTAGAAAAATGATATGAGATTACCCTAAAATATTTTTAAATAATATTCCTAAATATTTTAGGATCCGAGCGGGAAAGCATGTTGCAGTTTAGTGAAGGTACCGTG